ACCAGTATGAATTCTCTGGTGGAGTGTTAGCTGTTGCCGTACTCTAAAAGCCTTCCCACATTCCTTACATTCATAGGGTTTCTCACCAGTATGAAGTTTGTGATGTACTCTTAGGCCAGAGCCACACAAAAAGGCCTTCCCACATTCTTTACATTCATAGAGTTTGTCAGCAATATTAAGTTTCTGATGTCGGGTAAGGTGTGCATATTGTCTAAAGGCCTTTCCACATTCTGTACATACATAGGGTTTCTCACCAGTATGAATCCTCTGATGGAGAGTAAGCTGTCCACGCACTCTGAAGGCCTTTCCACATTCTTTACATTCATAGGGCTTCTCACCAATATGAATTTTCTGATGTACTCTAAGGTCTGGGCCACACATGAAAGATTCTCCACATTCCTTACATTCATACAGTTTTTCACCAGAATGAAGTCTCTGATGTCGAGTAAGGTGTGCAGTTTGTCTGAAGGCCATCCCACATTCCTTACATTCATAGGGCTTTTCACCAGTATGAATTCTGTGATGAAAAGTAAGTTGTTGGCGTACTCTAAAGGCCTTCCCACATTCCTTACATTCATAGGGTTTCTCAACAAAATGAATTCTCTGATGTGGAGTAAGAGATGTGCGTTTCTGGTAAGAGGACACTTTTTGAGATGTAATTTTCACTTGACCGAAATATCCTTCTTGCCCTTCAAATTTTCTTTTGGACTCCCAATCATTTTTTAAAATGAGGTCCTTAAGGCCATGGTTTTTAATTCTTTCCATTATCTTCCACTGGGATAAGTTTATTTCATAAATGTCATTTTCTGAGGATAACTTCCTGGTCTCATACTGGGTCTCCAAATCTGAAAGAAAATAAGAGAGCTAACATTGTAAAAGAAGTAAAATTTCTACAATAAAAATAAAAGATAACCAAAGTAATGCCCAATGAAATTCTAAGAGTATTGTTATACAATTTGAAAACAAACAAACATAAGGGAACACCAGGAAAAACGCAAGTTCATCTAAGAAAGTGAGACTGGTGACGAAGTAAACGTTTTAAGTCAGTGGTTCTCTCATAATTTTATTTATTTATTTTTCCCCCAAAGCCCCAGTAGATAGTTGTATGTCATAGCTGCACATCCTTCTAGTTGCTGTATGTGGGACACAGCCTCAGCATGGCTAGACAAGCAGTGCGTCGGAGCGCACCCGGGATCCGAACCCGGGCCGCCAGCAGCAGAGCGCGCGTACTTAACTGCTACGCCACAGGGCCGGCCCTGTCAGTGGTTCTCAAATTGAGATGTGAATCAGAATCACCAGGGAGCTTGTTACAAATATTAAGGTTTAAATATCACCTAAACCACTTGGATCAGATTTTACAGTCCTGGGCAGCCCTATATTTAATATTCTCCATACAATTCTGATGCAGGAGAAAGGTTGAGAATTCATACTTAACTTTTTTCAACAATTTCTCTTTATTCTTAGAATAAAATAAAACTCCCTGTGGTTAAAAGGCCTCTGCTTACCTATAACACACCTCAAACCATTTCACCTTTACTGCTACTTTCTACCGCTGAAAAGCAGAGAAGCCGCTTTTCAGATCTTAGAACACGTCCCAACTTACTTTCACCTCTGAGGATGTTTCACAGTCCGCTCTAGCTCCCACAGATCTTCTGATTGCGCTCTTTGCATGGCTGGCTCCTTCTCATCCTGAGGTCTTAGGTTAAAGTCACTTCCTTTAAGGCTGACTCTACTGACAGTCTCTAAATCCATGTTGTTATTATATATCTGTGTTGCTGTTATGTATTATAGATCAACGTCTATCTATATTGAAATTATATATTTATTAATTTTTCCAATTATTATTCTGCGTATTTTCTTACCCCTAAACCTCTTTAAGGGGAGAAATAATCTCTACTTTCTTTTCTTTCTTTTTTTTTTTTTG